TGTGTGTGTGTGTGTGTGTGCGCACGCGCGTGTAATTAAAAATGTTTTGCTTCGACAAACTTAATAATTTCTATTTTTTTAAGGCAAAATATTAGAAAAGTTTGGTTACGGGTACACACTTACATTTTGCTTTTTATGCTATGCACTGAGGATGGCATTACTATCTCTAGTGCCATCGCCATGGTATGTAGTTTTGATAGAAGTTGTTTTGCAAGGGCCATCATTTGCACTTTGCTTGGCAACAATAGCTACGTATGCGAATGTAATATCACCACCTGGTACATCAGCTACTGTTCAAGCAATTGCGTCTGGCATGAAGGATGGTCTCGGTAAGTTCTTTTATATATGTAATAGCTGAACCAAGAATAATTTTGCAATAAAAGAAATTTACACAATTAAATTAGCAAAGTATATGTAATGTCACATACTTATAGGATATGCGATTGGTAGTTTTTTTGGTGGTTTCTTATTTAAGAATGTTGGTGGTCGAATAGCTCTAAGAATATATTCAGGACTCGCAGCACTTGCTGCTTTAGTGTACATTACACTTTATATTTTATACTTAAAACATGCAACGCTATCATTAGGTAAGGAATCAATCAATTAATTGATTTGCTTGATTTGCCAAAATCTTTTTAGATTATGAAGATATAAGAAACTTCCTTCTTGTTGCAGACGTACGAAATAACGTTGAATGGAGAAAACCTGACGATGCACGAAGAGAATGTGTTGTAGATGAAATGTAATGCATGTTTTATATATGTACATGTTATATTTATATATGTACCTTCTTCATAAATAATAATGTATCACAAAACATTTTAATAAATGTTATAATATAAAATTTTTATGCAAATTATAGGTTACTAATTAAATATGTATATAATATAAAGATGTACATATTATACATAATAAAATATTGTCTTTATTCACAATAACTTTAAATAAACCCGATATATGTAATACAACAATAAATAAAAAGAGGAAAATTGAGCCAACTATGGCCGAGGCTAAAAATAACGTTTTATATAACAATAAATAATGCACTATTACAGATTCTATTATTACAGAAATTGTAATTGTATTTGTTATTCTTTCAACACATCGGTATAATTTAAACAACTTATGTCAATATTAAGATATGCTTTAATAAGATATACAGCGTGGAGAATAAAATTCTCTGACTGTCAAGAATACTTTCGTTATTTTTAAAGATATGAAATAAAGATATTTATTTACAAAAATTGTGTAGTGTCAAAAAGATTACAATAAATATCAGTAATAATTTTTCTGTAAATAGAAGAGCTTAATATTTAAAAAATTAATATTTTACAAGATATATTTTACGATTTATGTCGAAATATGCCAGAATAAAGTATATATTATATTTTAAATTGATTTTTCAACTAATATTTCTACCTTAATACTCTTATATGTAGAATAATCAAGGAATCATATTACGTAAAAGAATATAATTATCAAATAATCTTAAAAGAAGATAATCTTGAAATCTCGGAATCTTAAAGTCTCCATCCACAGAAAAATTATTACAAATATATTATAGCACTTTTAATATAACTACTATATAATTAACTTTCAAAAATATTTTCATATTTCTAATAATAGTAAAGATATTCTAGGTGGACAAAGTTATTACTCCACGCTGTATATTAATCCAGCAAACATTAAGAGATAATTAATGTTTATAAAGTACTATTGCGTTTCCATGCACTGTAGTGTTGTACTTACGTAGACTCTATACAGTATTGCAAATTATTATTTTCCGTATCTCTTGTCGTACCAAATTGACGTATTTTGAAAGTTCAATTATTTATATAATCTTTCTTGCTTGTAAAATGTTCATTTTTATACTTGCAGTTCAAAACGCAACTTAGCGTTAACTTACAATGCATTTTTACGAGAGACGCTAAATACAAGACTTGTTAATCACATTAAATTTGTATAAACATTAATAATGAAAATCAATTACACTGTATTACCTATAAAGATGCATTATTTTTTCTTTATGGTGAGTAATCATCAAATAAGTAATCATAGCATATATGTTACGTAGATATATATTATTCTAAAATATTTGTGCATTTTTAATAAGAGAATGAAAAAAGAGAAGATATATATGTATATGTTACCATTAAAATAACTCATAATCATTAAAACCGGATTTCTCTAGTTAAAACCAGTTTTAAATTTAATTGAAACGAGGTCTATTAGCTGTATTGTTTTATATGGGTTTTCAACTTTTTACGCGTAACGAGATTCAAATCCTCCTTCCCCCCTGTTTACGAAGCGAAACGAGGTCTATAATTGTACTGTCTACATAGGTGAACAGATTTCGATTTTACGTATAATCAACCATTCAAGTTTTAACTAGTGAATTCGGGTTTTAATGGATTATAGGTTTTGACAGTAACATATATATGTATAAAAATATTTATATTTTTAAAAAATTGTATAAAAAATTATATTATATATAAATAAAAAAGTATATATATATATATATATTAAGATAAAACCATTAAATATAAATCACATGGTTTTATACATACTAATATAATAACGTGAAATTATATTAAAGTTACTCCGAGAGAGAGAGAGAGAGAGAGAGAGAGAGAGAGAAAGAGAAAGAATACAATTACAATTCTTCTTATTCTAGCTATAAGTGCTTTTTTCGTAAATACATCAGTTTATGGCAAGCAACTTGGTGTTTCGCCATTAATTATGGGTAGCATTATCGCGATTCTGCCTATTTTATTTCTGATTGCGAAACCAGCATTTGGCTTTGTCGTGGACTATTTCCGCGCCTGGAGAAAATCGATAATTATAGCGCTGCTTGCCGTAACAAGTA